CTAACTCTTTCAGGCAGGCAGTCCAGCTGAGTGTGATCTGTGAGCAGAATGCTGCAGCTTACTTGCTGGCAGGGACCTTGAAATGCCATAAAGTTCTGGCAATAAATATGGCTACAGCCGGTACCTCAGCCACGAGGCAGAAATTGCAGAAAGCTAAGGAATGGGCTTAATTTCTTAAACTAAGCCTTTAATCCTCTCCATAAAGACTCATGTGGTCAGAAAAAGAAAGATATACAGTAAAGAGAGATTCAAAGACGAAGAAAATCCTTAAATGGTTTACAGTGTGTTAAAAGTATATGCAGGCTAAAGGTTAAAGTCCTTAAAAATAAAAAGAAGAAAAGAGAGTAGTAGGGTGTGGTGGTACACACCTTTAATCCCAATGCCTGGAAGGCAGAGGTACATTGACCTCTGTGACTTCAAGGTGTGGTAGCACACGCCTTTAATCCAAAAGTTTGGGAAGCAAAGGCAGACAGACCTCTGTGAATTCAAGGTATGGTGGCAGACACCTTTAATCCCAGCACTGGGGAGGCAGAGACAGACAGATCTCTGTGAGTTCAAGGATAGTCTGTTCTACAGAGTTATTCCAGGACAAAGATATACAGAAAACCTGTCTCAAAAAGTCAAAATGTTGGACCTTAGTGTCCAAACACCGAGAAGGAATCGCCCCCAGAGACCATCTCATATATCATAGCCGATGTAAAAGCATGAGGATTTTATTAGTTCTGTCATGACAGGGTCCCTCAGCATTTGGGAAGCCGAGAGACCTCGAATAGCTGGTACAGGCTACTTTTAAAGGAGAAGGCCACAGAAGTAAAGGAAGTTGCTCTTTGACCATTATGATTGGCTTATTCAAAAAGGGCTAATACCAATAATTGGCTGGAGAGCTATTGTCAGATCAGATGAGGTAAGAGGTCATTTTGACCCCGTTTCCCAGGGGACTGAGTCAAAACATACATGTATGGGTAATTGTTCAGGAACTGAGTCAACATCTTAAAGGTTATCTTGTCCCAATTTCTGGAGAACATATGTGCATGTGTAGCTGTTAGGTCCTTAGTTCCCAGGGGAGGAGGGGAAGCACTAAGGCATGGAGGTTGAGAGGGTTCAGAATTGTCAGAAATGGCTTCAGAATTGTCTTAAAGTCTTACATTCCCTCCTCTTATTTGGTCAAATATCTCAATCTTGAGATATTAGTAAATTTGGGGGACTAATTGGAGCTGTACCCAGAAATTAGCAAACCAGCGTTGTAGGCCCATCATAGATCACCAGGTCCTGTTGTCCTGGGACTTGGAAGAGTTGGTTTGTCCCAAATTTTAGGACATATAAGAGCTGATATGGTTGAAACTGCCAGATGAGGCTATTTCCTCATAATAGGGAGGTCCTGCAGATAGGCATAGCCAGCAAAATTGTGTCAAGCTGGGGTCAGTACTATTTAGCAAAGGAAGTCGCTGACCTGTATTAGAGGTTGCCAGCAGTGAAGCAGGGGTTGCAGAAGGGTTCTTAGCACTAGGAGTGGGGCCCAGGGCCCTGGCAAAGGGGGGTACCTCAGCAGGGGCTAGCAGGCCCTGGTCAGGTAATACTGGGTTGGGCCCTAGTACCATGGTCATGGGAGGTGTTACAACAACTCGCAGGGTGAACAGAATTTCTATGGCTTTTCTTTCTGAATCATATTGTAAGACTTTAAGACAATTCTGAAGCCATTTCTGACAATTCTGAACCCTCTCAGCCTCCATGCCTTAGTGCTTCCCCTCCTCCTCTGAGAACCAAGGACCTAACAGCTACACATGCACGTACTCAGTTCCTGAACAATATTACCCATACACATATGTTTTGACTCAGTCCCCTGGGAAACGAGGTCAAAATGACCTCTTACCTCATTTGATCTGACAATAGCTCTCCAGCCAATTATTGGTATTAGCCCTTTTCGAATAAGTCAATCATAATGGTCAACGAACAACCCCCCTTCTCCTTTAAAAGTAGACTGTACCAGCTATTCGAGGTCTCTTGGCTTCCCAAATGCTGAGGGACCCTGTCATGACAGAATTAATAAAATCCTCATGCTTTTGCATCGGCTGTGGTGTATGAGGTGGTCTCTGGGGGTGACTCCTTCTCGGTTTGGACACTAGAGTCCAACAATATATCTGTAAACCCCAAGTATTGCATGTTAACCTGTTAGCTCTTTTTTTTTCCTTAGTGAAAGTGATTGTGATTTCAGATTTTCCTGGTGTGGTATAGGTGAAAGAGACTAAGTCCTTTTTGCTAACCCCCAACCAGGAGACATTGGCACCGGTTTTACATTCCCAGGCAGCATAATAAAATATTTTAGCCCCTCCCCAGTACTGCAGAGTTTGCTTTTCCCCCCAGACAAATATATCATTTATAATATTTGCATGCAGGACAAGAATTTCTGGGGCTTTGCTCAGTATCCTCCCAAGAGTTTTTTGCTAAAACATATAGGTCAAAAGTTAGCTGGGGAAACTAGAGTTCAGGGGAAGAACTCTAGTGTCTAGCCTTAAGGCTTGCCCAGTCTCAAAGTTAGTCAGGGTCCAGGTTAAGTTCTATGGTATAAACATCAGGGCAAAGATAAGCAAGCCTGGCAGAATCAGGCCTCCTTGACGGATTTTGTGTACGCTGAAGCTTTCATTTGAAAGGTCCTGGGTCATCCTGTGGAGGTGCAGGCTTGACGTGAGATGCATGGATCCAGGCTGCAATACCATCCACTTTGAGGGCAGTAGGAGTCTTAAGAAGCATGGTGTAGGGTCCCTTCCAGCGAGGTTTAAGGTTCTGGGACCGGTATCTCCAAATGTATACAGAATCGGCAACCTGGAACGGGTGTGAAATTTGCGGGTGCCCGGGCTGGCGTTTACTTTAACCTCTCTTTCTTTCATTTTTACTTTTAACTTTTGGGTTTCTGAGACAGGTTCTCTGTGTATCTTTGTCCTGGAACTCCCTCTGTAGACAAGGCTATCCTTGAACTCACAGAGACCTGTCTGTCTCTGCCTCCCCAGTGCTGGGATTAAAGGTGTCTGCCACCACACCTTGAATTTACAGAGGTCTGCCTGTCTCTGCCTCCCAAGCTTTGGGATTAAAGGCATGTGCTACCACACCTTGAAGTCACAGAGATCTGTCTGCCTCTGCCTCCCAGGCATTGGGATTAAAGGTGTGTGTTACCACACCTTTAAACTCTGTGAAGGATCTGCATCCACAAGGTATGTTCAAGTCAGAAAGATGACAAGTTATGGTAAGGACCCAAGTACTTTGTAAATAGACAGGATGAAAAAATAAAGGAGACCCATGAGGAGGCTCTGAGAGTGTAGGAACAGCCCTCCATCATACTCACTAGAAGTTACTGGCTGAGAAAAAGAGTTTGATTTACAGCTATTTTTGACCTCCATAGAGTATAAAGAAATGAACAGAGAGTGCATGGATTTTAATGAGATTTGTTACTGTTTATTATGCCAGTAAATACCTGATTCTTGGTTCAGAACCAAGGTAAAGCAAATCCTGCCACCTCGAGGAGAGATTTGCCCATTCTGAAAGAACAGTCCTGTGACACAGAACAAATGTGAGGACAGCACTGGCGTGACAGGTGTCCTTGCATGAACTGGAATGTCGTTTATGATCAGGCTTACTGTGGAAATAGAGAAGCTGGGCCATTTAGCAATAGGAGCTAAGTTGCATTGCTAGCACACATCTTCCCTTTTGCTGAAAGGCCTTAAGCATGTACTCCTCACCTTCACAAGGAGTTATTAAGTCACCTCAGATCAGGAAGGAGACTCTCAGGTCAGAGTAGTTGCTGTACAATACTGTCCTGCAAACTTAGTTTTCAAGATGGTTGTGATACTGTATTCCTGTAATACCAGCACTCAGAACTCAGACATTGTTGTAAAGTAGGATCATGCTAGAGGCATTTCTTTCTGATATTATTATAACTTAGGTATTATTATAACTTAGGTATCTTAAAACGTTGAGCTAAGAATGCAGCCCAAATGTCTCTGCTTTAAAGTTGTGAGCTCATTCAGAAGTGAATTTATTCAATGAGGAAGCTTAGAAATAGGCAGATCTCCCAAGTATCATGTCCAGAAAACCCCTTTGCTCCACTGTTTAGGGAAAACATTCCTTTGGAAATGGCTCCCATGTTCTTCATGCCCGCCACAGGTAAGAGATCTCTCTCAGCTCTTTAGTCTTGGATGTTGCTATAGCTATTCAACTTGACCATATACAGAAACAACTAAAATCCCTGACATTAGGATTTAACTCTCAGAGATTTTTGAAAATTAAATCATGTTATGAAAATCTACCATCAATCCAGGTTTGTCAAGGTGAAAAGATACATTTTTTTTTTAAATCAGGGCCCCAACTTCTGCTGGCAACCTACATATATAAAAGACATTGAAAAAGCAAGTTCTCTCTCTCTCTCTCTCTCTCTCTCTCTCTCTCTCTCTCTCTCTGTCTTTGCCTACTTGGCCTAGATCTGACTAGCAGTTCTATCCTTTACTGGTATTAGAGGCTACTTTTTAGGAATTCCCGGGAATACCTTTGCAGACAGAAACATCTGCTAACAATAGGGCTCCTCACCCAATTTGTCTCTACGTACTCAGGGTAACTTGGAGACTATACTCTGCATTATTATTCATTTTCTAGAGACTGACTTGGATTTCAGGAAGGAAACTCCTACAGGAATGGAGCCCTCATCCAGCCCAGACTTATCACAGTGTTTTGCTCTGGCTCCTACTTTTTTCTCAGTGTATTCTAAAGACAGTCTGCCTGAACTCAGAATGAAGCCACTCTTGTTTGGAGTCCTAAAATCTCTTTTAATTGTTAATATTCCAGACACATTAATACCTGTGGTACAGAAAAAAACACTCCACTGCACATTTTGCAGTGAGCTGTGCAAACTAACCACCAGGAGGAAGAGGCGAAGAGCTTACGAAACGCTGGAAGAGGAAAGTGTCAGCAATTGGAGGTCACAAGCAAGTACAATTGTAATGCAAATCACTGCAATTTGGGAAAGGCTTGAGCCTGGTTTAAACACCTGGGCCAGAACCCAGTTTGCTTAGTCCTTGAGTACAATCTAATCCCAAGGGAGGTACTCTTGTCACTCAGACATCAATAGCCAATCAGGATCTCGAGGCCGAACACCAGTTAGAAGGTGAGCGGGTGGGCTCTTCCAGACTTCCGGTGCAGGCTAGGATCCGTATCTGAGCAAGCGCGAGTGCTGTGGTGTTCCGTGCTGAGAGCAGTGCTGCCGGGAGCTGTGTGGGGCCAGGGAGAGCTCGGAAGCTGCGATATGGTGAGTGAAATGCTGCTCTGTTCAGGCGGGGAGGAGTGGATGCCTGAGCCTTGGGAGCCACGTGATTAGCTTCTGCCCCGTCCCCCAGCAGGCAGAAGCAGGCAGCCGAAAATGGCATTCTATAAAGTCCTTGCATCTCGCTGGCCAGGGTTGTAGCCTCTGAATAACATTCCATCTGGGGCTCCATCTGCTTAGAGCAGTTGGAACAGGGTGAGTGAAAATGGGTGCAGTTGCGAAACTGAAATTGCCGCTGTTTGGGGGAAAAGGGAAAAGTTTATTCGAAACTGGCCATGCTGTCTTATGGGAAACTGTCAAGAATAAAAAGGTAGATGCACACGTTACAACAAAAGTTGTATTTTATTATGCTAGGGTGCTCATACAAGGTTCACGTTCTAAATTCCCAACTGAAGGACAAAACCTCTCCCCCACAGTCTTCTCACCTGTGCCATTTTTCTAAGCTAAAAGTCAGGTAGGTCCTGTCCTCACAGAAGTCTCTGATTTGAAAGTCTCTGATTAAAGAAAGCATCAGGATCCAGGGGTAGACTCTCCAGCCCTGAGACAGATCAAGGTGACCTCTCACCAGATGACCAGAGCAGAGCATTGCTCTTGACTTATATACTGTCCAGTGGAATCATGGGGTTCAAGGACTTCTTGTTATCTCAAGTGAATGTCACTGATTTCTGCTTGTTTGGTAAAGCCTTCCACATAGTGGGGCTGTTGACTACGCTGTTTTTACATGTCAGAAAGCCAGTTTTTACAATGCTCATTAAAGATGTCAGGGAGAAGCAGCAGGGGGTGTTTCCAGAGTTAAATGGGAGCAGAAAAAGAGGGTTGTTAGCTGAAGTGCGCCTTGTAAGCGGGGAGCCTAGAGCCTAACATTGGCCTTGACAAGTTAATAGGCACACAAGCATGTTTCTGGCAGAAGTTAGCCAGAGAGGAGTTTTGAAGTTTTGTTTCAGATAGAAACTTTCTTCACTCCCCTGAGGAAATGACGACATTTGTCTAAGTGACTGACCTTGGCAAAAAGGGTTTTTTGGGGTACCAGACACAGGGGACTGAGTATTGATACAACCTGGTTATTACTGTCATCATGCTTTGGGTGTCTAAAAATCAAGTTGCTATACTCAGAAACACCTAGTTTCTCTAGTAACTTCTAGAAGTGAAGCAAATCACATTTAAAATATACTTGCAAAATCCATTTGGAGTTATTTTATGGATGTTATAAACATTTCCTGGGTTGGATAGGACTCCACTACTGTGCTGTGATGTAGAAAAGTAAAACTGAAGGTATAAAGGATTTACCAAAACTTAGGAGAAAGAAAGCCATACTAAATAGGATTGATTTGTAGCAGGTCTGCTTCCAATCTATGGCAAAGTTAAGTCATATGCTAACCAGGCCTGTTAGAGATTAGGATGTTAAGATGTAACTATACGTACACCAGGATCTACAAGGATGTAACTATATGTTCACTAGGATGAACCAGGCATGTGATTGCAAACTGTAACAAAATATAAAACTCTGATTTATTACCAGCCACTAGTCCTATATCCAAGAGCAAGCCTATGAAAAGCCTCCCAGAAGAGCATTACAGGGTTAGAACACCTATTAAGGGCTGGTGTTCCATATACCTCCATTCATGCCAAAAAGCATAGTTGCCCTGATGGGAAACAATGCTGTGCATGACAATATTAGAAATGGATGAAGTGGTGTGCTGAGGGCTGGCCCGCTCAGTTGCTGCTTTCTACTATGTAGAGAAGGAACATAACTTCTCAAACTTTGGAACATAACTCGTAGAGCCAGTAACAGCCTGAGGCCTAGCCCTTTTCAGCTTTTTTTTTTTTTTAAGTCCCCAAGCTATAGAGCAAAGACATTTCCTGCTTTTAACCGGGAATATTCTTGGGAGATCTGATAAAGGTCTTTAGCCAGGGCCTTAGGAAAGGAGCTGCTTCAGATCCTCAGAATTCCAACTCTCCCTAGCACATGAGTCTGATTATGAATTCCATGTCTGCTGTGGACTAGATCAGAATACACTTGAGACACCCTATGTTTTCCTTATGCCACCTTGTTTGCTCTGGCTCTTCCTGAAGTTATTCCATTGTTTTAGAGTTCCTGTTGATTCATGGAAGCTTCCCATTTCCTATGGTTTCTGCTCTGGAAGTAGTTGACAAATGCTGTTCTTTTAAAGAAGCTTCCTTGGCTTAAGGTTGATTGTGCAAGACCTCCTAACCCAGGTTTTATCTTTTCTGTCATCCCATCTTCCTGGCATCTCCCCATCAAGACACAGTCATTGAAGAAAGGCCTGCTGTTTCAGTTAATTGGAGTACTTAGGAAATCCTTCTGGGATTATCTTTGCTGTGAATATCTAACATCTGCCTGAGTGGCAATCTCCTTACAGTCTCTTTTCCCTGTATAACATGCTCCAAATATTACCTGGGACCCAAACCTAAAAGAGCTTTAAGGAGGTCAGCATATGTGACATGCAGAATCTGTGCCAGGTTGGCTCCTTGTTGAGCAGTAGGCAGAAGGCCACGCACAGTATTGTTACAGAGTTTCTACTTTATTAATCTTTGAAGTGTGTGCAGTGTTTTCTCCCTGTAAGCACATGTTAATCTAGCACAGTTGCACCTCCAGCCTTGTAGAAAGATACTTCTGAGACAAGCTCTGTTACATTGACTTAGGTGATCTTGAACCCAGTCTGTTGCTCCTCAAGGACCAACCTTGCTGTCCGCTCATTTAAACTTCTAAATTCTTCAAGAAAAAGACTGTACTCCTGTATTTGTAAAATTACCTATTTGAATCATGTAGTGGAGTATCCCTTGAAGAAACAGAAAAAGGGCTTTCATGTGGAGCATGATTTCTGCCTTCAGAGCAGAATGGGAGGAATCATTTGCTGTGTAGACTACAGGAGGCAACAGGTTAGGTAATTGCTAGAGCACAGAGTGAAGTTTAAGGCTGTCCACTCCAAACTCACCATTGTGAAGAAGGATCTCATTGGGTCAGTCTGTGTAATTTTACAACATTTGTTAATTCGTGCCCTGTGAATGAGAGCAGACCAGATGGAGGAGTGTACAATTTGATGAGAGTAGCTTGAGCTAATGAATATTGAGTTTGTAATTGTGAATCTCTCTGATGGGGGTATGAGCAATTCAGGTTGAAACAGTTAACCAGGCTGAGAGGTTTGAGACACAAGTCGCCCGTTGGCTATTACTATGTGTTAGGAAACAGACCACAGCAGCCAACATTGCAAATAGCAGCAAGGTCAATCAGGAGGTCCAGTACCTATAGGTTACTCACATGGGGAAGCTCACCTCCCTCCTGCCCTGAACATATTCTCCTGTCACTGGTATTTTCTTCTTCCTGAGTTCTTCATTTTTGTAAGTGACAGAAACTCCTTTCTACTCTGCAACCAAACCTCCACAGAACTTATCATAGCTCAGTTTTTCTCATCTGTAGCTGAAACTTTCTCATAACACACTGCAGGCCCAGTCTCAATGACCCGGGATAGTGGTCAGGGTGGCCTAGTCACAGTTTTTTATTTAAAGTGCTAAAACATCCAAACTGATGCTAATAACTATCTTTTCAGGGCTAGTGTGAGGATCATACTGTCCAGTGACACAGAAACATTTAAATCTGTGTTATAATTTCCGAGAATGAGAAAGAGAGGTGGAAAGTGTATTGACTTGTAGGCATATTCCAACATTTTGGGACACTTCAAGTTAGAGTAACAGCATTATTCCTCATTTAGTGTCCATAAACCTCTAGTGGCCTGGATTAGAATGTAGTCACTTGATTGAAAATCCTCACAGGTATATGAAGCACTTTATTTCTTATCTCATTGGTGGGTTACTATAGGCTTCTTATTGCTATTTTAGTGTTAGGAGCCTTTTTTGAAGATGTTTCTTGGTAGGGATCTGATTTTTGTGTCTGTAGCCTCACCCCATAGCCTTTTCTTAGTGTCTACTTTCTTGTGGTCAACATTTATCACAATACTTTTTTTCTTGTGTTCTCATGTGTACACCACCATTATAGATGATGTCTGTGAATTACCGAAGATACCCCAGGAACAATTGCTTTTTATTTGTAAGTCATTTTGCTAGCTTGATGGGTTTTTTTAATCGTTTTTTTTTTTTTATTCTTAAAATACATTCTTTTTTGGATCACAGGGATTCTTTTGTCGTCCTGTCTTTCCTGTTTTTTGAGACAGTGTTTCCTTGCATAGCCTATACTGTCCTTGAAATCAGTTTGTAGACCATGCTGGATGTGAACTCACTGAGATCCACTTGCTTCTTTAAAAGTATCTCTGTAGTCTAGGCTGTCCTGGAACCCAAAGGCCTAACTGCCTCTGCCTCCATAGGGCTGGGATTAAAGGTATGCTCCAGCACACCTTACTTTTTCATTTCTATATTATTGACAGGTTGGCCCAGAATGTATGGTTTTGTATATGTCAAGCACATACTGTTCTGCTGTGCTTTACCAATATCTTGACTTTGAACATTCTCAGAGTGTATAATTCTTTATTCCAGGGTATCTTACATACATGACCTTAAGACTTATGAGCCTCCAGAGTCATGGGATGACAGGTGTGTGACAGTCTTACCACCATTCGTGAATTTTTAATTTTTTTTGTAGTAAATATGAATCTATGCCTGCATGCAAAGATATACATGACACTGCTGACTGATACTCACAACAATCATAAGATGTCTGCGGAATCCCTGGACTTGGAATTATGAATACTTGGGAGCACCCATGGAAGCACTGACTCTTGAAACTCCCTCTTCTGAAAGACCAACAGGCATTCTTAACTGCTGAACCATCTCTCCGGCACTGTGCTATTTTTTCATGTTCAATGTTTGCATTGCTTACATTGGAAACTGTAACTATTTAAGCATGCAAGCAATTTTAGCTAGATGTTATTCTTACAGTTTATTTTTTTAGATAAGCCTTTTTTATAAAATTAGATTTAAAAGAATATCGATCCAAGTTCCTACTCCCTTCCTGCCTCCCATTCCCTCCACATACCCTCCGACCCCACCCCCATCCAATCCTAAGAGAACGTAAGGTACCCTGCATTGTCCAGGGTTCAAAGCCCTCCCTACTATATCTAGGTTGAGCAAGGTATACATCCAAATAGAATAGGTTCCCAAAAAGCCAGTACATGTAGTAGTGATAAATTCTGGTGCCACTGCCAGTGGCCCCTCTGTCTGCCCCAGTCATGCAACTGTCAACCACATTCAGAGGGACTAGTTTGGTCCAATGCTTGTTCCTTCCCAGTCCACCTGAAGTTGGTGAGCTTCCATTAACTCAGGCGGACTGTTTCAGCGGATGAATCCATCATGGTCTTAACCTTTTTGCTAATATTCTCATTCTTCCCACTCTTCAACTGGAGTTTGGGAACTCAGTCCAGTGCTCCGATGCAGGTCTCATTATTTGCTGGATGAAGGTTCTGTGGTGATATTTAAGATATTCATCAGTCTGACTACAGGGAAAATCAAGATTGGGCCCCCTCTCCTCTATTCCTTAGGATCTTAGCTGGGGTTATCCTTGTGGATTAGTGGGAATTTCTCCAGAGCCAGGTTTCTGCTAAACCTATAATGGCTCCCTCAATCAAAATATCTCTTTCCTTGCTCTCATATCTGTCCTTCATCCATTTCAACTATCCCATTCCCTCAAGTACTCTTCAACACTTCCCTTCTTCCCTCCTCTTCCCCGTCCACCCTTCCTTCTCTGCCATCCCCATGCTCCTAATTGTATTAGGCTGTCTTGTCTATTTCCAATTTCCAGATGAATCTATATATGTTTTTCTTTGCGTTCACCTGATTACTTAGCTTCTCAAGGATCGTAAACTATAGGCTCAATGTCCTTTGTTTATAGCTAGTATCTACTTATGAGTGAGTACATACCATATTTATCTTTTTGTGTTTGGGTTACCTCAGGCAGGGTAGTGTTTTCTAATTCCACCCCTTTGCGTGCAAAATTCAAGATGTCATTGTTTTATACTACTGAGTTGTACTCTAATGTGCAAATGTGCCACATTTTCTTTATCCATTCTTTGGTTGAGGGGCATCTAGGTTGTTTCCGAGTTCCTGACTATTACAAATAATGCTGTTAAGAACATAGTTGAACAGTTTTATAGTATGATTGATCATCTTTTGGGTATGTGCCCAAGAGTGAGTGGTATTGCTGGATTCTGAGGTAGGTTGATTCCCAATTTTCTGAGAAATCATCATACTGATTTCCAAAATGGTTGTACAAGTTTGCATCCCACCAGCAATGAATGAGTGTTCCCCTTACTCCACATCCTTTCCAGTATAAGCTGTCATTGGTGTTTTTGATCTTGCCATTCTGACAGGTGTAAGATGGTATCAGAGTTCTTTTGATTTGCATTTCCCTGATGTCTAAGGATGTTGAACATTTCCTTATGTATCTTTTGGCCATTTGAGATTCTTCTGTTGAGAATTCTCTGTTTAGTTCTGTACCCCATTTTCTAATGAGGTTCTTTAGAATTTTAATGTCTAATTTCTTGCGTTCTTTATATCTTTTATAGATCAGTCATTTGTCTGAGGTGCGTTTGGTAAAGATCTTTTCCCAGTAGGCTGCACCCCCCCCTTTTTTTTTTTTTTCTGACTGTGGCCTTTGCTTTACAGAAGCTTCTCAGTTTCAGGAGGTTCCATTTATGTATTGTTGCTCTCAGTGTCTGTGCTACTGGTGTTATATTTAGGAAGTGTTTGCCTGTGCCCATGCATTGAAGGCTACTTCCCACTTTATCTTCTATCAGGTTTAGTGGTTGGATTTATATTGAGGTCTTTAATCCATTTGGACTCAAGTTTTGTGCCTGGGATAGATATGGAACTACTTTCATTCTTCTACAAATTGACATCCAATTATGCCAGCACCATTTGTTGAAGATATTTTCTTTTTTTACATTGTATAATTTTAGCTTCTTTGTCAAAAATCGGGTGTTCTTAGGTGTGTGGATTAATATCCAGGTCTTCAATTCGATTCCATTGTTCAACTTGTCTGTTATTATACCAATACCAAACTGTTTTCATTGCTGTAGCTCTGTAATACAGCTTGATATCTAGGAGGGTGATGCCTCCGGAAGTTCCTTTATTTTACAGGATTGTCTTGGCTATCCTCGGTTTTTTGTTTTTCCATATGAAGTTGATTATTCTTTTAAGGTCTGTGTAGAATTGTGTTGGGATTTTGATGAGGATTGCATTGAATCTATAGATTGCTTTTGGTAGAATTGCCATTTTTACTATGTTGATCCTTGTCCAAGAACATGGGAGATCTTTCCATTTTCTGATATCTTCTTCAATTTGTTTCTTCAAAGTCTTAGTTCTTGTCAAATAGGTCTTTCACTTCTTTGCTTAGTGTTACCCCAAGATATTTTATGTTATTTGTGGCTATTGTGAAAGGTGATGTTTATCTGATTTCCCTCACAACTTCTTTTCCTATATTTGTGTATAGCGGGGCTATTGATAGTTTTGAGTTGATCTTGTATTCTGCCACATCACTGAAAAGATTTATCAGCTCTAGGAGTTCTCTGGTAGAGTTTTTGGGTCAATTATGCAAATAATAAAAATTATACAAATAATTCTACAAATAATGAAAATTTGACTTCTTCCTTGGCAATTTTAATCCCCTTGATCTCCTTTTGTTATCTTATTACTATAGCCAAAACTTCAAGAACCATGTTGAAGATATATGGAGAGAGTGAACAGCCTTCTCATGTTCCTGATTTTAGTGGAATCGCTTTGAGTTTCTCTCCATTTAATTTAATATTGGTTGTTGGCTTCCTATATATTGATTTTATTATATTGAGATATGTTCCTTGTATCTCTGATCTCTCCAATACCTTTATCATGAAGGGGTGTTGGATCTTGTCAAATGCTTTTTCAGCATCTAATGAAATGGTCGTATTTTTTTTCTTTCACAGTATTTATATTTGGTAGATTTTCATATGTTAAACCATTCCTGCATCTCTGGAGTGAAGATGACTTGATCATGGTGGATGATTTTTTTTTAAATGTGCCCTTGGATTTTGTTTGCCAGTATTTTATTGAATATTTTTGTATCCATTTTCATGAGTGAGATTGTTCTGTAATTTTATTTTCATGGTTGAGTCTTTGTGTAGTTTTAGTATTGGGGTAAATGTAGCCTCAAAAAAAAAAGAGTTTGGCAATGTTCCTTCTGTTTCTAATATCAGGAACAATTTGAGGACTATAGGTATTAGCCCTTCTTGAAAGTTCTGGTAGATTTCTGTGCTGAAACTATCCGGTCCTGGGCTTTTTTTGGTTAGGAGGTATTTGATTACAGTTTCTATTTCCTTGCAGTTTATAGGTCTATTTAAATTGCTCACAAGTTCTTAATTTAATTTTGGTATATGATATCTTTCTAAAAAAAAAGTCCATTTCTTTTACATTTTCTAATTTTGTGGAGTACAGGTTTTTGTGGTATGACCTAATGATTCTCTGAATTTCCCAGTGTCGGCTATTATGTCCGCTTTTTCATTTCTGATTCTTTAGTTTAGATGTACTCTTTTGATTAGTTTGGATAAACAATTGATTGTATGTCTTGATGATTTTCTTAAAGAACCAACTCTTTGTGTCATTTTAAATTATTTTCTTTGTTTCTATTTGGTTGATTTCAGCTCTCAATTTGATTATTACCTGCCTTTTACTCCTCCTGGGTGACTGTGCTTCTTTTTCTTCTAGAGATTTCAGATGGGCTGTTAAGTCACTAATGTGAGGTTTATCAATTTTCTTTATGTGAGCACTTAGTGCTATGAACTTTCCTCTTAGCACTGCTTTCATAGTGTTCCAGAGGTTTGGGTATGTTGTTGTCTGAGGTTTCTGTCATACCTGTTCCTCCTGTTGTGATCCAGCTGCCCTCACTCCCCCTGACTGATAGCAGAACTTCCTTGTGGTCTGTAATTGACAAGGATGTTTGTGTTCTTTCTGGCCGGTGGGTCTCCACAGAAGGAGTAGAGGTATAAAAGGTTGCTGGGCAAAATAAAGGTTGCTGTTCTTCCACCTGAAAAGAAGCCTCCATGTCTGAATCACCCCCCACCCTACCCCCCCACTTCCACCCCCACCCTAAACCCCCCAGTCTTGGCTATCCAGGTTTCCCTGGCTGCAGCACCTCCAGTAATTCAGTTCCAAAGAAAACACACAGAGGTCTACATTAATTAAAAACTGATTGGCCTATTATCTCAGGCTTCTTATTAACTCTTTTAAAATTGATTTTTATTGAGCTCTACGTTTTTCTCTGTTCCCCTCACTTCTCCCCTCCCCAATTCAGCCCTCTCCCCAGGTCCCCATGCTCCCAATTCCCTCAGGAGATCTTGTCTTTTTCTACTTCCCTTTTAGATCTATGTAAGTCTCTCTTAGTGTCCTCATTGTTGTCTAAGTTAGTTCTCTTTATGTTAAAAGCCACCTATGAGTGAGTACATGCGATATGTACTTTTTTTTTTGTCTTTTTGTGTCTGGGTTAGCTCACTCAAAATAATGTTTTCTTGCTCCATCCATTTTCTTGCACAGTTCAAGCTGTCGTTAGTTTTTTCTGCTGCACAGTA